TCTCCCCCGGAACCTGTATTCACTACAGTATATCCGCTCTCCCCGGACCCCGCATTCCCTATATCCGCTCTCCCCGATCCCGCATTCCCTATATCCGCTCTCCCCGGACCCTGCATTCACTATATCCGCTCTCCCCGGACCCCGCATTCACTATATCCGCTCTCCCCGGACCCCGCATTCACTATATCCGCTCTCCCCGGACCCCGCATTCACTATATCCGGTCTCCCTGGACCCTGCATTCACTATATCCGCTCTCCCCGGACCCCGCATTCACTATATCCGCTCTCCCCGGACCCCGCACTCACTATATCCGGTCTCCCCGGAACCCGCACTCACTATATCCGGTCTCCCTGGACCCCGCATTCACTATATCCGCTCTCCCTGGACCCCGCATTCACTAGATCCGGTCTCCATGGACCCCGCATTCACTAGATCCGGTCTCCCCGGACCCCGCATTCACTAGATCCGGTCTCCCCAGACCCCACATTCACTATATCCGGTCTCCCCGGACCCCGCACTCACTATATCCGCTCTCCCCGGACCCCACATTCACTATATCCGGTCTCCCCGGACCCGGCATTCACTATATCCGCTCTTCCCGGACCCCGCATTCACTATATCTGGTCTCCCCGGACCCTGCATTCACTATATCCAGTCTCCCACGGAACATCTTTATCTTGAGGCACCCCTAGACTGTCCATAATTTTAAAAGGGCACCCCAATCTAAAATGTGAAAAACTATTCTAATAGTTTTATATAACGCAGCAACATCCACACATGTAGGACACCCAACATTGGAGGTGATTTATTCTTCCAAAGCAAATACACTTTTGCACACTGGTACTGACTAGTATGCCAGTGTTTCTCCTTTCCCTCATTTTTTTTCATCACTGAGCTAATGTGACCCCAGCACTGATGGAGAGAGGTGGGGGAGGGTAAATCTAGGATGCTGTGCAGGCAGCTGACATCCTCCTTATCAACTGATATCATTGGTTGTCAGGACACCAGCGGATAGAAGGTTGTAATGGCGCACAATGAAAATCTGCACCTTTTGTGTAACTAAAAGGCAGGCTTGTCCCACCCGCTGGCTTGTATACAAGTTTTGGGCAATTTTTAGACATTTCAGCAAGGCACCCCTGAAGAAACCTCTAGGCACCCTGGTTGATAAAGGCTGATCTAGAGCAAGAGGCGCTGTACACACTGTAGGCGGTCAGTGATACACCTTCACCCTGCTGCACCAGGGCCCAGCCAACTGCCCAATCAACACCAATGTGCAAGTGGCATGCTGGGAGCCAATCAAGGAGTAGATCATTCTTTCATGCATCACTTCAGCAGATAGGAGAATGGATCTGATTGGATGGAGCACTGCTACAAATAGATTTGAAGGGGGGGGGGGGTGCAGTGCCATTGCTAGTGGGGATAATGAAGGGGGGGGGGGGGGTGCAGTGCCATTGCTAGTGGGTATAATGAAGGGGTGATACTAAGCTGCTCGGGGAGCACCTCAGTCAAATTTAGACGCTTGCTAAAGTAAGTGCCTTATATCCAGGAAAATGACAATCACTATACACAGGCCAGAAGGTTTGGCAGCCTGCTGACAAGGCCTGTGCTTGTAACCACACTGGAAGAACAAAGGATGAGCTCACTTTTATTCCATGTACATGCTCTTCAATCAAGCTCTGATAAAGGGGGCTTCCTTGAACGGAACCCCTAAACACGTGGACTAGTCCTTGGCTTGCACCCCTGACTTTTATTGGAATAAAATCATATCAAGGGCAGCACAGTGGCTAAATGGTTAGCACTTCCGCCTGGCAGTACTCGGGTCGTTGGTTCGAATCCCAACCACGGCACCACCTGCCTGGAGTTTGCATGTTCTCCCTGTGCCTGCGTGGGTTTCCTCCGGGTACTCCGGCTTCCTCCCACACTCCAAAGACATGCTGGTAGGTTAATTGGATCTGATCTAAATTGGCCCTAGTATGTGTATGTATGAATGTGAGTTAGGGACCTTAGATTGTACGACCCTTGAGGGTTAGGGACCTTAGATTGTAAGCTCCTCGGGGGCGGGGACTGATGTGAATGTACAATATATATGTAAAGCGCTGTGTAAATTGACGGAGCTATATAAGTACCTGAAATAAATATCTAGACATGTTTACAGTGGTGTGGGGCTTCAATTTTTGTTGCACACAATACATCTAAATATTTACAAAGATTGTAAAAGCGGAGTTCCACCCAAAAGTGGAAGCTCTGCTTGTTTGCCTCCTCCCCCCCTCCACTGCCATATTTGGCACCTTTTGGGGGGGGAGCAGGTACCTGGTTTTGACAAGTGCCTCCTCTCACTTCCGGCTCAGTTCGCCATGCCAAACTGAGCCGGAAGTCCGTCCCCCTCCTTCCTCCCGCTGTCTCCTGGGAAACTACACAGGTCCCAGAAGACTGCCGGACCAATCAGGATGCACAGAGAGACTGGCGCAGTGGGCACCTGGCTGTGAAGCCGCAAGCTGTCGCAGCCTGGTACCCAGAGTTGAGATGCCGGCGCCGTGGAGAGAAGGGAAGGGATGGCGTGGGTGAGCACATCGCTGGACCCCGGGACAGGCCAGTGTGTGTTTATTAAAAGGTGTTCAAAAGTGCATAAAAGTGGAGTTCCGGCCGTTTTTGTGTTTATTAAAAGTCAGCAGCTACAAAAACTGTAGCTGCTGACTTTTAATAAACACAAAAACGTCTGGAACGCTGCTTTAATACACCTTTTAACAACCCCTGCCCCCCAGCTCCGGCATCCCTTTACACAGTTCTGAATGCCCAGGAGGCAGGAAGGATCAGCGACCATGTGTGTTGCTAAGGCTAGTTTAGTGATATTTGTAGCATAAATATGGAATAGCATTTTAAGACCATATTTTGTTTAGAAGCGAAGATTGCCCTATTCATATGCTAATGAACTTGTTGGACTGGTTCATGAGCTCAGGACAGGATGTGATGCTACAGAAAGTAGGGGGAGAGGAAAGGGGACTTGGAAAAGCCATGTGCTGCGGACAAAAAAGAACTGGTAGACGTTTTGCAGGACTCTTGAGAAGCAAAAAGGTAGAATGGAGGATCCTGGAAGAAGATTCCATTACCAGGAAGAACCAAGTTACAGCGGAGTTCCACTCAACCTACCAAAAAAAAAAAAGTCAGCAGCTACAAAAACTGTAGCTGCTGACTTTTAAAAAACAGCCACTTACCTGTCCCTCGGTCCCACGGTGTGTCCCCTGCAGCTCGTTTCACCAGCTGTCCTGTATTCCAGGAGGCCGGCATCTTCAGTGTGGGCACCCGGCTGTGACAGCTTGCGGCTTCACAGCCAGGTACCCACTGCACATGTGCGAGTAGCGCTGCGCTTCATGAATAGTCCTGTAGTCTTCTGGGACCTGTCACGTGTCCCAAAAGACTATAGGGAGGGAGGACATCATCTGCTTCAGATCGCCTAGGCGAAACCGACCGGAAGTGGGAGCGGGTACCTGTCAAATTCGGGTACCCGCTCCCCAAAGGTGCCAATCCTTAATATGGAGCGGGGGGAACAGTCCTTAAAGAACTTCCCCTTTTGGATGGAGCTCCACTTTAAGTAACGGTTTAGTGCATGCCTGTCACAGACATTGTACATGCTTACCTGCTATAAAGGCTACATAGCTCATGCATGTTGTGAGCACATTTTGTAATACTCATTATGTTGTGAACGGTTTTCCTAAAATTGTAAGTAGTTTGTATTTGCAGCATTTTGTCTAGTAAAGCATCAATACATCACACAGGTTTTTTTATGCTTCCTTGGTTTTCTGCAAAGAACCTTAGAAGACAAAGCAAAATATCATGTGACCACTGTCACAGTGGTCACATGACTGGAAGCAGGTCCCGTTCGATGATGATCTTTAGTTCAGGCTGAGAGCGGTCTCGGGACAGCTCAGTCTCGGGACAGCTCCGTCTCGGGACAGCTCAGTCTCGGGACAGCTCAGCTCACAGTGGTAATATGACTAGAGGCAGGTCCCGTTCAATGCTGATCTTTAGTTCAGGCTGAGAGCGGTCTCGGGACAGCTCAGTCTCGGGACAGCTCCGTCTCGGGACAGCTCCGTCTCGGGACAGCTCCGTCTCGGGACAGCTCCGTCTCGGGACAGCTCAGCTCACAGTGGTAATATGACTAGAGGCAGGTCCCGTTCGATGCTGATCTTTAGTTCAGGCTGAGAGCGGTCTCGGACAGCTCAGTGCTCAGTCTCTCGGACAGCTCACTCTCGGACAGCTCAGTGCTCGGTCTCGGACAGCTCAGTGCTCGGTCTCGGACAGCTCAGTGCTCAGTCTCGGACAGCTCAGTGCTCAGTCTCGGACAGCTCAGTGCTCAGTCTCGGACAGCTCAGTGCTCAGTCTCGGACAGCTCAGTGCTCAGTCTCGGACAGCTCAGTGCTCAGTCTCGGACAGCTCACTGCTCAGTCTCGGACAGCTCACTGCTCAGTCTCGGACAGCTCACTGCTCAGTCTCGGACAGCTCACTGCTCAGTCTCGGACAGCTCACTGCTCAGTCTCGGACAGCTCACTGCTCAGTCTCGGACAGCTCACTGCTCAGTCTCGGACAGCTCACTGCTCAGTCTCGGACAGCGCACTGCTCAGTCTCGGACAGCTCACTGCTCAGTCTCGGACAGCTCACTGCTCAGTCTCGGACAGCTCACTGCTCAGTCTCGGACAGCTCACTGCTCAGTCTCGGACAGCTCACTGCTCAGTCTCGGACAGCGCACTGCTCAGTCTCGGACAGCGCACTGCTCAGTCTCGGACAGCTCACTGCTCAGTCTCGGACAGCTCACTGCTCAGTCTCGGACAGCTCAGTCTTTGTGATGGAAGCGTGCACGTTCTCTGCACAGAAACATCGGCTGCCCAGCGACGCATATGTGCGCTCGCGTGGACGATAAAGCTCACCATTTACTAAAGTGCAAATGTGTTGGGTGGTTGGAAAGGGCTTAAACAACACAATTGGTATAATCAATAAATATTACCATTTTGGAGTGAGATTCCGAAAAATCTTTAATCCGAAAAGAGGTCCCTGAAGATCACCAGCTCCGAACTCGACCTTAAAAACAGAAGAAAAATAAAAATAAAAACTACAAAAAAATATATGACGGCATTTCTCTTAATAATATAGAAGCAATGGTTGAAATCCGGGGGTTCCTAACTGGGAGTATCCATATGACTTAGGGGTAGGAGACCCAAACGATGGGGGGGGGGGGATGGGATGGGAAATTTGATGAGCAATTTTTAATACAGGAAGCGGGTTTTTCTGTGTTAAAAGCCTGTTTACCTAAAAAAAAGATACAAAAAAACAAACAAAAAACAACTTACCTTCCACTGATGTGTCCCTTGTCCAGTAGTATTCTTCCTTCTCTGCAACACCTCCCCCCCAAGCCCCAAAATCTTCTGGTGTGCTGAAGCTATATCCACTCCCCCCGGACCCCGCGTTCGCTATATCCGCTCCCCCCGGACCCCGCGCTCGCTATATCCGCTCCCCGCGCTCGCTATATCCGCTCCCCCCGGACCCCGCGCTCGCTATATCCGCTCCCCCCGGACCCCGCGCTCGCTATATCCGCTCCCCCCGGACCCCACTATATCCGCTCCCCCCGGACCCCGCGCTCGCTATATCCGCTCCCTTCGGACCCCGCGCTCGCTATATCCACTCACCCCACGCTCGCTATATCCGCTCCCCCCGGACCCCGCGCTCGCTATATCCGCTCCCCCCGGACCCCGCGCTCGCTATATCCGCTCCCCCCCGGACCCCGCGCTCGCTATATCCGCTCCCCCCCGACCCCGCGCTCGCTATATCCGCTCCCCCCCGGACCCCGCGCTCGCTATATCCGCTCCCCCCGGACCCCGCGTTCGCTATATCCGCTCCCCCCGGACCCCTCGCTCGCTATATCCGCTCCCCCCGGACCCCGCGCTCGCTATATCTGGTCTCCCCCAGTACACAGAATATGGAAATGAAATTATTTTAGTAAATATAAACTGCTAAATACCTTTTCTCATCAGCAGTATAGAGCAGTCTTGTGACTTTTATCAGTGTCCAGCAAAGCACTGGTTACAACTTGTAGGAGGAGTTTTCATTCTGCTTTAGGATGATGCAGGACCCCTGATCTCTGTCTGGACAGTGCCGATTGGCTCTGTGCCGATCTCATGCACTCTCCCAAGAAAAAGAAAAAAAACCTTCCTAGCAATACACACCAAACTAAGCATGTACCAGAATGCCTACGTTCAGTCTGTCTTATCAGGAGATAAGAGGTGGTCACTTGAGCAAGGGGAGGAACAGAGCAGTCAGGATCAAATGGCCTTTTTATACAATGCAGAGGATTAACCCCTTAGGTCCCACAGTGAGTATAACAAGCTGCATCTACAGACTGATTGTACTGTTGGGGGTTTAGTAACACTTTAATACAACACGACCAGCAAATGTACCTGTTAGTGCAGTAAACGGCTCATTATTGCCAGCTTGGCCCAAACAAACTATTTAGCCACTTAAAAAGATTTGACCCCCTTCGTGACCAGGCCATAGTTCTGCTATATAGCACTGCGCTACTTCAACTAGTAATTGCACGGTCATGCAATGCTGTACCCGAACAAAACGTATATCATTTTTTTCACACAGAGCTTTCTTTCGGTGTTATTTGACCACCACTGGGGTTTTTATTTTTTATTATATAAATGAAAAACCAAATATTTTGTAAAAAATAACCAAAAAAACCCAAAACAAATATATTTTTTACTTCCTGACACAAAACATATCCAATAAAAAACGAAAAAATCAAACGTCTTCATAAATTGTGGCCAAAATAAGTGTGTATTGATTAGCTTTCATGAATGTTGTCGTTTCCACAAACTAGTATTCATACTGGATTTTTTATTTTTTTAATACGACCACTGGCGGTGATCAGTGACTTATAATGGGACCGTGATAGTGTGGCGAACAATCTGACATTAACTGACACTGAGGGGAACTGACTAACTGCCCCTGACATCACTGGTGACACTAATAGAGTGATAATACTATACATTGTACTAATGATTCTGGCTGGAAAGGGGTTAACATCTAGGGTGACCAAGGGGTAAAATATATGCCTAACTACGTGTAAAGTGTGCTGCTTTTATTGATAAATTTCTGTTTGTCATCGCTGAAAAAGAGATTGTTCCCTCTGTGCTGATTGTTAACACAGAGCTCTGGACTGTGATTGGACACGGCCGATCAGCAGGTCCGGGCCATGAATACAGGCTCCCGCTGTGTACAGTCACAGGGAACCAGGCAGGCAGGAGCACGCGGCCGAAATCCAGAAACATAGTGACGTACGGGTACATCGCTTTGCCTGTGCGCAGGGCTTCTGTTAGAAGCCACAGGGCCCCATACAGCCAACCTGAGAGGGCCCCCCCAAAGAAAAAAAAAAAACACAGTTTAATATTCTTCAGTTATGAATAAACACAGTGAGTGTTTGGTAGCGATCACTCATTGTGTTCATTCAGGAAAGGAGGGGCCTGGTAAATGTGACATATTTACCGGACTCTTCCTCCACTCTCCATCCTGAAGGATCCTATTGAGTGCTTGCAGCTGCTGGTGGGTAATACGGAAGCACTGCGGGGGTGGGGGCACACAGGGGGGGCCTGAGCAGCAGGGGGAAACATATGATGCACAGGGAGGGGGATCAGTATGACGGGCGGGGGCAATTACTGGTACCGATCCCCCGTATGGCTCTCTCTGCAGCCAGCAGGAGGGAGAGGAGAAGAAGCCAGCTATTTGCTGCTGCAGGGAGAGCCATACAGGGGATCAGTCCCAGTAATTTCCCCCCCTCCACCATGCCAAACTACCTCCCTGCCTACATTGATTCACCCAGTTGTCTGCCCCCCCCCTGCTGGCCTGGACCCCGTACAGGAGAACTGGTGGTACCCCCCTTATCCACGGCCCTGCCTGTGCGCGCCACCCGTCCGCTGTACGTGTGGCTGAGCGGTCTGCAAGTGGTCAAAAGGGACATTAAGGCTCCATGTACACTGCGGCTGATAAACTGACATATAGGAGCTGTTCTGCGTTTTTTCAGCAGCCCCTGAACTCCCCCTAATGTCCTCCTATGTGTCCGTGTACACATCGTCCTTTACAGGCAGTTGAGTTTACAGTCGTTTTTTTGAACGCACCAAACTTGCGTTCAGGAGTAGATTTTATCAGCGTTTCAAACGCCAAACCGCTAACCGCGTTTATAAGCGTTTGCAAAATTTTTTTTTTTTTAACTCTTCCATTTCCAGATGCTGTCCAGAGCCTTTTGTCATCATGAAAAATGCATGCAGAGTGTTTTCCCGGTACTCAGACGGACCCGGCACACCATACTTTGAGGATTCGCATGAAAGATAATATGTTAGACATCGCTGCAATAAATTTCTGTACAGAAATGAGCCGGAACATCCAAACACCACAAAAAAAAAAAAAAAAAAAAAAAAGACAGCTAATCCCAACACATACTGCTCTCTCTGCTTCTGCTCTATTTTTCTCAACATGTCTGAAATTGTCAATTTTTTTACGGTTTTCAGGGCATTTTGGAGGGTCTCATGAGGTTATCTTTAACCTCTTGGCGCCGGCCGTACGCAAATGTGCGGCCTCCCGGCATCTGGGCCTAGACACCGAGAAGCCCTCACATTTGCATTCTATTAAAAAGAACATATGTGCTGAGAGCGCGCGCCCAGCACACACGTTCGGTACTCACGGAAAGGTCCCGATCTCCTCTTTCGACTGGGACCTTTCCCGATCATGTGACCGCCGGGACAGCGAATCACTGCGGTCACATGACCCTAAAACCCCGTCCGCCTCCCGACTTCTGGAATCCTTAAGGGGCCGGGAAGCGCAGGCGCCAAGGGGTTAAAAAAAACGCTTCTAAACGCAAGCATTCATAAACGCGGCCGCACATTTGCATTCTATTAAAAAGAACATATGTGCTATGAGCGCAAGCCCTGCGCGCTCCCAGTGCACATGTTCAGTACTCTCAGAAAGGTCCCGATCTCCTCTTTCGATTGGGACCTTTCTTGATCATGTGACTGCCGGGACAGCGAATCACGGCGGTCACATGACCCTAAAACCCCGCCCGCCTCCCGACTTCTGGAACCCTTAAAGGGCTGGGAGGCGCAGGCGCCAAGAAGTTAAAAAACGCTTTTAAAACGCAAACGTTCATAAACGTGCATAACGGCGGCATGCAAACGCGGCTAAGCAGATGTTTTTTTAACTATGTTTTCCAGCAGTCAGTTTCCACCGTTCAGAAGTGTCCAATGTACATGGAGCCTAATGCCGGCCATAGACGGTTAGAAAATTGGCTGATTTTTCGGCCAAAAGAAAAATCGGCCAATTTTCGCACTGTTAGTGGGTTAATTGGTCGCCCGTTTTTTTTTTTTTTTTGCACTTTGAGATTATCGGTCATGTTGGAAAATTTGCGGCCGATTTGGAAAAACGGCCGATTTTCCCGGCAATGATGGCCAAATCGGCCGATTGTTTTAACGATAAAAAATACGCATGAGCCGTGACGAGGGGCGGACTGACAACTCATGAGGCCCTCGGGCAATACGGGATCATGGGGCCCCTGTGTCCTTGTCCAAACTCAAAAAAGCCTATGAAAAAGGTATCAGGGGCATCTCACGGGGCCCCCTACTGACCCCAGGCCCTCGGGCAGTGCCCGAGTTTTCAAATGGTCAGTCCTTCCCTGGCCATGACCTGCAAAAGGACAGAAATGTGGCTGTTATATGGGGTGAACGTTATGATTTATTCGGCTGATTTTTTTTAATCGTTGGTGGTAACGTCGGCTTAACGAACGACCGATTTTTCGTTTATCGTTCGAAAAATCGGCCGATGTTCGACCCGTCTATGGCCTGCATTAATGTGTAGTTCAGCTACTGATCTTTTTTTTTTTTTTTTCCACAGTTTGATTCAAGATGGGTGGTAGGTAGAAACTGGAAAACATGCAAACAGGAGCCTACAGCTCCACCTACTGGCTGGATATACAAATACCTATTAAATTATTTGTCATATTTTATATTAATAAAAATGTGAAAAATATACAAAT